AGACTATCATGTAACAAATATTAATACTGGTTGAATTTTTTGAAAATGGTAAGCTTCCATTAAGAAATATCTAATAAATAATTTGCAAAAAACAAAGTTAAAAGTATCATTATATCAATTAGTGTTTTAACTATAATATATGCATGATAATTTCTTGTTAAACATCTAATGTCATAAAGCTCAGTATGATAAAAATTTATCTGATTTCGTAAATACAAATGCAGAATTTTTACGTTATTCTAAACTTTGCTCTCCAAGCTTCTCACAATTTAGAATGGCCATAATGTTTTAAAACCCAATTTGATAAAGTTAATATCTAAAATTAATAAATCAATCAATATGGATAATAAATACTTTTTATATTATGTTACATAAAGAAACTATTAAGAAGTTAAATCAGAATATTTTTTTAAAACAAAAATTCTTAATAGTTAAGTTTAGCAATCGTACTAAATTTTTATTAGTATTTAGCATGAATATCATGTGCTATTACAGTATATGGTATTTTAGCTAACTGGCGAATAACTCATACTGCGAAATGATGCAAAAATTAAAAATTAGTAATAAGAAAAATAGGCGTTTTCTTATTTGTTATTAAGACGTGATTTAAATTATCTGTATATAACCATCTTCCCTAAATCTTTTTTTTTTCCTAAAAGTTTCTACGTGTATTTCACAAATATTTTATTTTTTTGGTAAATTATTTTTATTTCATAAGTTTTCTTTTCTCTAAAAAAAACAATTTTTTTTTGAATCTTTAACCATTTGATAGTATTAAGTATTAACCGATTCCAAAATTTGAACTTACAAAATTTATTCTTTATTATTTACGAAAATTAAATTCACGATATAACTTTTTACCATTTATTATACCGGTAAGACGAATACCAGGTGGACCAGTGGTGTAGGGTCGACCACCTGTGTGGTGTATGGTGATATTTAGCAGTGTGTAACAGTGTGTAAAATAAGGGGTGTGAACAATACACAGGTGATTAATAGCATTTTGGCCACTCTAAATCACGTGTTTGACCGTCATGTTATTTATCACCTGTGTAACTGTCACATAGGAGACCATACACTTAGAACTTCTTATTATACGTGAAAAAAAATTTGTTACACAATGCATCATTGCATAATTTGTTAAACAATGACATCCGAAAAATTCCGTATTGATTTTGATCAACATCCGCATTCCACGGTGTAAAAAAAAATTGTTACACAACGCATCATTGCATAATTCAATTAATTCGTTATAATAAGGTTTAAAATTTTTTCATTTATCCTTGATATCCTATTAACTTGAATTCATTTATAGTTTAAAAATGTCAATGAACCCTTTTATCAAAGTTATTAATAAATTAATTAAATCATCACATGTTAAAAAATGTAATAAATGTAATTATACATGTAATGCAATTCATTTTCAACAAAATTTTGAAAATTGGACTAGTGGTAATAATAATATTGATGAATTTATTCAACATACTCAGCTAATGGCTCATAAAAACAGTGAAATATCAAATGCATTAGAATGGATACCTTATGATAGAATGGATGATATTGTAAAAAATAAGTTTGGCAACGTGTATAAAGCAAATTGGATTAATGGAAATATAAAACATTGGGATGATAAAAATCAAAATTGGAAAAGAGAAGGTCATAATAGGCTTGTGAATTTGAAGAGAGTAAATTCTTTAAAAAATATTAAAATAGAATTTGAAAATGAGGTATAATAAATTTAATACAATAAATTTTGAAGTTTTTAATTCTACTAAGATATTTGTATTTGTAGATTAATATACCTTTTGGAATAACTCAAGATCCAGAAACAAAAAATTATATGATGGTTTTAAATAATAAATGTAAAAAGTGTTACAGTAGAATGTGTGATACAATACACTTTCAATATAAATTTATAGATTGGACTAGTGGTAATAATGATATTGATAAATTGATTCAAGATACTCAGCTGTCAGCCCATAATAATATAAAGAAAGCATTAGAATGGATACCTTATGATAGATTATATAATATTAAATATATTGCAGAAGATGAATTTGGCAAAGTGTATAGAGCAAATTGGATTGATGGTAGTATAACTAATTGGGATAGCAAAAATCAAAATTGGAAAAGAGAAAATTATAATATGTTTGTAAACTTGAAGAATTTAAATAATTCAAAAAATGTTACAATAGAATTTACAAATAAGGTATGATAAATTTATTTAGCAAAATTTTGAATATTTTAATTTCTACTAAGTATTATTACATTTATAGATTAAAATAGAATATAAATTTTATGGAATAACTCAATATCCAGAAACAAAGAATTATTATTTAATGATTTTGAATAATAAATGTAAAAAGTGTAATAGTATATGTAACACAATAAACTTTCAACATAAATTCATAGATTGGACTAGTGGTAATAATTATATTGATAAATTTATTCAAGATACTCAGCTATCAGCTCATGATAATACAGGAAAAGCATTAGAA